AAGCGCGCTTCCATCAAAACATACTTCAAGCCGCCGAAGAAGATTGGTCAGTTTTTACCATCAGTCAACCCTCTTACCCTCTGCAAGATGCAGGAGTGTACAAGCATGATTGTGAATGTGGTCTCTCCTACATAGGACAAACTAAAGATCAATTAAAACCCGCGTTAAAGAACTTATAGCTGATGTGAAGAATCCACGCTCCGGGAAGTCTGCAGTCTGTGAACACGTACAGGATCGCCCCCGTCACTACATCAGATTTGATAGACCACAAATCCTCGCTAAAGAACACCAATTCCTTCCAAGGATGATTCGCGAGGCTATTGAAATCAAAAAACATCCTAATTTAAATAGAGAAGATGGCTGGGTGCTACCATCTGCTTGGGATCCTATAATAAATAAAAAAAATCCCAACCCAAGCATACAACTGCAAGACTTCATGATACCATAAGTTCATACTGTGTAGATCGGAACAAAAGTTAAATTTTAATCTATGGTAACCGCGGTTAACGATGACATCTGGACGTTGAACATCTCAGTCCTTTCCGTGACCATGGGTGCTGTAAAGCTCTCGAAACGTCGGGTATTTAAAAAGTTAAATATACGCGATAAATTCCGTAAAAACTAGTATTATTTCAATGTGTAGTGTTCGCGTAAATATAAGAAATCATTATGTATGCTTTTTTTAAAGATTTTTAGTGAAAATGTGGGATAATAATGTTCCTTGTGCTGAATCGAAATGAAAATGAAAGAGAGAGAGCACCAGAAGGATGGACTTGACTTTACCTATTATACTTAAACTGGAGATTATTAAACACTCCTCCTCATCAGGCAGTTTTACTATTTAACAAGATGCCTAAAAAACTAAAAGAAATAAAAAAGTTAAGCGCAAAGATGTTTTATAGGTACAGATACCGTATACGCGCGCCTAAAACGCTTCCATTTAAAAGGCGCCAATATTGGCGTATTCGTTCGATCGTTCCGTCATTATGCCAGCGACGTTCACTGCGAACATAGATCACGCACCAGTGTTTTTAATTTCGGAAAATGACTGTTTGTGCTGTGAAATCATGTAAAAATTACTCTTGGAAAAAAAGATAAGAACATTACTTTTCATAAGTAAATATACAATTTTCTGGTGTATTTCTTGATAAAATAATACGAAAGCTGAATGTCAATACAAGTAATAATACTGCGCAATAATATTCGAGTGTTGCCTACCGTATGAAATGTTTTTCCCTATTTTAATGTCATTAATAGATGTAAAGCAACTGTTGACAACGGTTATTTATCCAAAGCAGCCGATACGCAATCGTTGTGAACCGGTTGTTTATCCGACTACAAACGAAAAAGGATGGTTATGATTTTACTGTGTGTGCGGTTGGCTAAGCTGAATCGCTTTTTGGAATGGTGCTCAAAAACTACTTGACCTATTTAAGAAATTCTTTCACCATTAGAATGCTATTATGACTGTGAAATGTAGGATGTATTTTGATATAGAGGGCACTACCATCAACGAATATGTTTTTTAGCTAAACTCGTACAGTTCTTGACCGATTTTGAAAATTCTTTTACCACTAGAATATTATGTATAATTAAAGATGTCTAATGTAGGATGTATTTTATTATAGATGGCACTACTTTCTATGAATATGTTTTATTTGGCTTATCTCAAAAATTACTTGACTGATTTTGAAAATTCTTTTACCGTTACATTACTAATGAGGGCTTTAGTTTTGTGATTAAATTATATTATTATAATAATCATGTTATATTATTATTTGTTATATAATTATGTTATATTATTGTTTATTATATAATTATAATATAATGTTCAATTCACTTTCATGTCAAGGGCAGTTATACACAATCAACATTGATTATATAGATTATATATTTTTTATTTATTTACAGGTTTTACAGTACAAAATGTAGCCTTTAAACACACAATCTTTTATTGTCTTCCAGTGGCAGGATTTAATTGATTTTACGCAATGATTTGATGTAGTCATGAAACTGTATCGATATATGAAATTTAAAAAAAAATAAACATTTGCTATCACTTGGCCGAAGTTTACACTTAACCAAACTTACTTTTGTACGTCATTTTACTTAAGATTAAAAATAATTAATGTCTTCGCGTCAATATTTTGGGTTTTAAGGTACGAAAGTGTAGTACTCTATATATATTCAATAATAATAGATTAGTTCAATATATGTTAGATACATAAATATCTAATGTGATTTTTGATTTATTTTTAACTGTTACATTAATTATATCTATTTTTTATTACTTATATTCACTATTTTAGTGCGATTTTCGTACAGACCTACATAAAACACCCATATCCCTTGTGTGTGTATATCCCCATTTACATACGTACACAAATACATACGCCTCGCACACATATTTTACACTCAGTTATGTCAATATGAATGAAATATAAAATCTCCCAAATTTTTGGGCAATCGATTCGCACTATTATTACCGAAGTCACGCACACTAATGCAGGCATGGTACGTAAGATATGCGCGTCACGTGGTACTCACGCACACGTGAATTAAAAACTGGCGTCACTGTGAACGGTGCGATGTGTTAGCAACACGGTATCTGTACCTATAAAACATTTTGGTTAAGTGTTTTTAAAACAGAGTTGAAGGCACTACTTATAGAAAAAGGTATTTATAATATAGACGAATTTCAACTGTAGAGTAACAAAAATAGTTATTTAAATAATAAGAAATTTAATAGTTTATTTTTTTTAGTTTTTTTTATTTTAGTTTATTTATTTTAATTTTATTTTTACTTTTTTATTTGATTTGATTTTATTTTTAAATTATGGAGTAGGTTGACATTTCCTAGTTTTTTTTGTTTGGTTTTTCTTTATTATACAATGTAAAGAATATATAATTAAACATTTATGATGAATATTAATAGCAATAATTATATAAATAAGAAATGCACATTGACATTTATTAGTTAATTTATTTGTTTAGTTGTTTGATTACCTAATTAATTAATTTTGTTAAACTAAATTAAGGCTTAGTAATATAATAAGAACATTTGCTTAATATTTGTACACAATTTAATGTTAATGAATAAAGAGATTGATTGATTCATTGATTGTTAAAGTGCTAATCGGTGTAATAAAATCTATAAATTTTTTAATAAGTTGTACTGTTGTTGCTGTATATTCTTTTCCAACGACAAAACAGCTTGGAATACTACTGGATATGATGATTTAAATAACTTATCTGATGCCATTACAAGACATATGAACTCTATGAACTCTCAAAAACACCTGAATCCGGTAATTTAATTTAGTAATTTTGGAAAAAATTGTATTGACACATCTTTGTTGCTCAGGGAATTGATTAAGAATACAAATAATTTGTTTTTTTAATTTTGTACATTTTTTGTACTTTGTTCATGCTTTCTTTTTGTTCATGTATTTTATTGTATGTAAATATTTTCTTTGCCACCACGGCTTTTCCACGGAAGGTATGCAATTGCTGATATGTCATACAATCTATTTAGCAGTATAGAGTATACCAATACATAGTATGCCGTCTGTGTACTTTGTTAAACACATCCTCGACAGCAGTGAGTATGAAACTGAAGAGTGGAGACAGATTAAGATTGGTGCATTTTTATAAAACTGCTAAATACAACAAAACCATATCTTGGGCTTGCCCTAGTTTGGAGCCCTAGCTTCGCCACTGCTTCCCAGGGTTATTAACATCCATAAATTCCTTAATATTATAATGACCCTCTTTATACAAACTTAGTTTAATAAAGTTTTTGAAATTTGTGCAGGTCAAATTTTGTATATTTTTGGGGTTTTGTTGTAAAAGGGTATAAATCTCACCAAGAATGAATTACTGACTTGGTGGAGTCGAGTAACTTGTACTGCTAGCTTGTGTCTGTTCCTAGTATTTACAGAATGAATATCACTTATTTTTGTGTATATGCATTATATTTTCATAAATGCATTATATAGGCCAAAGTAAATGATTTTTTTAAAATTTTTGCCTGAGTGAATCTTTAGGTTTTAAATCATAGATCACTCTAATGGCCCTCTTCTGTAACACAAATATAACTTCAATATAGTTTCAGTCACGCGTCCTGATAGCAAAATACCATACAACATTATGCTATGGAAATAGCTTAAGTAAACTAGTCTAGCTTTTTCATTCATGTTATATATGGAAATAGCTTCATCATTCTAAGATGCTTCAAAAGTTAAACATACACCCCATATTTCACACTATCGCCAGAAAAACCAACAGTTTCTCTATCGAAGATCAAGGACCAAAGAAAGGTCAGATGGGCTGTGAATGCTGTCAAAACCAGAATTGCACCAATACCAGATTATGACTATCAATAAAAATATGCCTCTGCATACCATACAGCCCATGAAAGTCTACTACTGAGCATAGGCCTCCCATTAGACTGTCTCATAAGGAGAATATAGCAGGATAGTAACAAGTGCTATCACAGGACATGGCTCTTTTAACAAACATTTGTTCACCATAAGTGTTACTGACAGCCCCCTGTGCAGGGCATGCATGGGAGAGGAAGAAACGTCGGCTCATGTGTTGCTGACATGTCCAGAAGTCGCTTCATACAGGGCTAAACATCTCCGCACGCCGGGATCGCTCCCCTAAGTTTCTTGTAACATCAAGGGACTGCTGAGCTTCTTCGGGGAGATATCATGGCTCGAATAAGCATATTATTCCTGCCCACACGCAAAATATGCGCTTAGACATGGATGTGCGGAAAACATCCCGTCGTAAACTAAACTAAGGAGAATATTTGCTAAAGTTGAGAAATGTAGTTTGTGTAGTTTTATTTTCCCATTGTTATTAAGAGGATGCCGCTGCTCATCTGGTTTATTTCCCTCTGTTCCCCCTTATGACACCCACAAGATGATATAGGCTGGTGGCTATTTTTACACAGCCACTACACAGTCAAAATAGTTATAACAAATTATGATCTATACCTGCGGCAGATTATGAGCTGATGGTACACAGCTCAAGTCACTCCGAAGGTTTTTGTTATGTGGTTCTGGATTATCGTAATTGACAGACCAAGGTATTTGATTATTTCGAACAGGCTCTGTAAAACTGTTGCCATAATCTGATTCAGGCTGGTTATTATTCTGATTATAGCCATTATCATTATCTTCCTGTCCATTTTCATGCTGCAAGATAAATAAGTTTTTGTTAATAACAATAATAACCACACCTAGAATGATTATTTGTAGGTGGGACTTGCATACCACAGGTAACCTAGAATCCTAGAATGGTACCTAGAAACCTAGAATCCATGATACCTTTAGACATATTTTTATGTTTAAATCAGGGAAAACTGAACAGATACACATACCTGAAATAGCCTACATTTAGGGTAGTTGGACAAAAACATGTTTCTTAACTATGTTAACAAAATGTAAGTAATTTTTAAAAAAAAATAAGCAACTGATAGTACTTACGTTAGCTTTTTCAAAAGGAACAATTCGAAGAACATAACCAGCAAGTCTGTAACCCTCCAGATATCTAATGGCGAGGTTGCCTTCATCTTCGTCAACGAAGCATATCTGTACTTGTTTCGTGCCATCTGCATCGTACACCAAATTACTAAGCAGGAATTCAAAAATATTACATTCTTCTCTAATTATTTTTTTTATGTCGAAATATTTCATCTGAAAGTAAAATATCGAGTTGCCTAACACGAACAGAAATGCTAAAAATTATACAAATGTTAAAAATTATACAAATGGGAGCATATATGTATTGCCCCTTACATATGGTGGTAGTCCATATATTGTTAACATCATTTTGAATAATGTTTGGTAAAAATTTGTTCGGGAAATGTGTTATTAGGATTTCGAGCGATAAAACCTTGACTCAGTCACAACACAACTCACAATCATAGATAAATAAATATGTAGTCACAATCACAAACATCACATACATTGTTAATATACAATAAATCTTCGCAGTAATCTATGCTTTTAACCTTATTTATTTATGCTTTTAACTTTAGAATAAACTACACAGATAAACTAAATCTATACATCATAGATTACTTGCTATACACTCTTATCTATGAACTAAACTATAAGGTATTATAATGGTTTTTTCAAGTTTAAACAATGTATTATACTATGTCGTAGACAGAGAATCCTAGCTTTCTCTGTCTACGTACTATGTGCTTCAATTCATAAATATAGTAGCAAGCTTTATTTTAGTAAATAAAACTTGCTTCCACCTAAAACAAAATAAATAAATCACAATTCACAACTTGCTACATATTATATCAGGGAATACGGATGTCGATAATCATCGATGTTATTAGCGACCACAGAATACATTTACGACGGGTGTCATTACAAATTAAAACATCGATATTTTAACATGGATGTTGCCATACGTAGACAGAGAAACCTATAGACTAATGATTAGCGTGGCCTCGAGTGAGAAAGGTCGATAATGTAGTTTTAGGTTATACAATAATTTTTATGACTTTTAAACGTATTTAGATAAAAAATGTAATTGTTCTAAGAACTGAACCTAACAAGATTCACCAATATTAAGCTTAAAAAACACTTTTTTCTCACTTAGACCAACTTGTAAACTCCTTAGATCGCTGCGAACTGTCACAGTTGTTTAGAAAAGTGTAGTTTGCTAAACAAAAAAACCGGCACGGAGAAAGGGACAAACAATCACACCACTCTGTCTCATTTCTATGCAAGATGTATGCATAAATCTATCTTTTTCGTGTTCAAATGCGAAAAAAGGCGTCAATTTGTGTATAGGTTTCTCTGTCTACGTTGCCATATGTTAAACATCGAAACATCGATATCAGTGAACAATAATCGATTAATAAAAACTTGTGAACATAATGCGAATCCGCGAAATCAATATCAACTGAATATTTCACCTCCTATTAAAGGTTTAAAATTTTGAATAATTCAGGACTCCTAAACGCATCGACCACCTAAAAAAAATATAAAAATATCATTATGTTGTGCATGGAGGTTAGAGAACAGGAGAAAGACCGCCTTAAAAAAGTGTCCCATAAATATGGACACCATAAGTGAGGCGCTGCGCTCGCTAAGTTCGCTCAATAAAAGTCATTTTCAGTCTATTTTTCCGATCAGATGCTAAACTACTTGCACATTCACGCACAATAAAATATTTCTCAATTTTTTAATGTTTCTTTTTGTCAAAAATTAAAAATTACGGAGCATGAAAATTTTCTCACGAATGTCGCGAAGAAAATTTGTACATTATTCAACTAACTTCGTCTACTTGTACTCATAAACAGCTAACTTCGCAGCCACTACTCACCGACGGCAGCGCCGCTATAAATTCTACAAATTTTCAAGGACAGGCGGGCTATGCTTTAGTACGTAGTGATCGTTCTCCTGTTCTGTTCTGTGACCATAGATAAGCTAATCGCTAATCTAGCATGCTGGATGCGCGCACGATAGTGTGTATGCTACGTCCCGTACCGTGGCCTTGAGCGGACGTACGTCAAAATCTAGTATATACATAGTAACCTATGGTCAAGATGGACAGAAAATAAGACACCTTAAAAGCATCTTTAAAGCCATGGAGTGTAGCGGTAAAGAGAACCAAATCACGTAGGAGAATTGTTGAAAAAGTGTCCATCTGTAAGCAGTAAAAAAGAGTTCAAAAACTCTCCACAAAAGCGCCAGAGTCAGAAGGTATGAAATGAACGGCTCACTGAAGTAAGCCCCCGAAAATTTTTATTTTTTGATTTTTCAAATTTCGTTATCGTATCACATATCGTTAGTTCATGGTTTGTTCTTGATTGTTCTCTATTAATAATTGTTTGTTTGTCAATAATTTATTTATAAAAAAAAATTAATTAAAAATTTGCCTTATAGTTATCCCCCCCCCCACTCCAATTTATAATTTCTTTCGTTATTATTGGTCTTTTTATATTCATTAATGTTTGTTCTTTGGTAAAATACGTTTGTTCCATCAAAAATATATCCATTTTTGGTTTAATAAACAATTTTTATTTAGCTACATAACTATACAGACGTAGTCAACGTATCTGTACAGCGCATGCGTCGATGCTACGTTTGAAGTGGTTCCTTTAAAAATCCAAAAAATTTTAAAGAAATTTATAACAAATTATACCGATAAAAAAGAAAGTGTAATTTATGTTTATCAATTTTTGTCACTCACAGTAATATTTGTCATTAACATGGAAGGTGTGTTACAGTTAAAAATATTTAGAAACTTAACAAATCAACGTATAGATAATAATATTACACTATCACTAATAATCCCAATAATCAATTAATCGATCAAATATTATTGCTGGTGTATTATATCAAGTGAATTGGCATTTATGTGATGAGTGATGGTTATATATCAGTATTGTATACTATATTTTTGTTTAGATATAATTATTTATAAAAACATAACATTAATATGAAATTAATAAACAACTTCAGTAAATATATTATTAAGACGATTTATATTATTCTAAAATATAAAACGCTCCATGGGCCTCAATGTTAGCATGAGCAGATGCTGTTTGAGATTTTGTTCTTAAATTATTGTAGCTTTCCCAATTACCTGCTAATCTTCGACTATAAGCGAAATAATGACCCGTAACATAAGCTGCTACTCCAGACAATCTAAAAATGGATAAAAGTGTAAGGAATCAACTGCACCAATATAATACAATAAGTACAAATGATGTAAAGAGCAATAAAGATACTGATATCGTAGATTAGTTTCAGATCCATCATTATTTTGAAGTTTTAAGTTCAAATGAATAGGAAATTCTTTCAAGTTACACATTTTAACCCTACGTTGACTAGGCACGTCTGTATAATTATGTAGCTAAATAAAAAAAATTATTAAACCAAAAATAGATATATTTTTGATAGAACAAACGTATTTTATCAAGGAACTAACATTAATGAATGTAAAAAGACCAATAATAACGAAAGAAATTATAAATTGGAGTGGGGGGGGGCCTAACTATAAGGCAGATTTTTAATAATTTTTTTGTAAATAAATTATTGACGAACAAACAATTATTGATAGAAGACAATCAAGAACAAAAAACGAACTAACGATATGTAATACGATAACGGAATTTAAGAATAAAAAAAAAATTCGGGGGGTTAATTTCAATGAGTCGAAATGAACCTGGCGATTCTGTGGACGGAATGAAATGTGCTGAGTTGAGGAATTTAATATTTGTGGTAACGAAAGTAGTTAATGAATTAGCATTATTTAAAACCTCAACTACTTACATTCTCTAATAATTTAGTAAATATAACCTAGAAAAGTCGCTGTACGTTGACAGCTGACACGTTGAGAAAGATTTAGAAAATAAAATTTTCGAAAACAATAAAAAAATTATTGTAAAAAGAAATATGATGAAAGTCTGTGCAATAAAATTTTGTAAAAAGTTCTTTAAAATTTACCCTCTAGGCACCATCCGCATTTAACGCTTTTCTGCGGAAACTCTTTAATACACAGTCTGTTCTCCTTACCTCTACACTCCATAATAACATTATCCTTAAAACTCGTATTTTCTGAATATTTTGGTAAAATATTTAGTGCTACCATCATAGTTCATGCAGTGAAAAATTAGCTATTTTTGAATAAATATACTATACTACATAAAACAAAAAACAAATAACGAAAATTAATTTCCTATTAATTAAATCAGTTTGTGATGAGTAATAAATCATTATATTAAGATGTGTAGTGGATTTTTTCAAATCATTTAAATATCTGTACGTAATATAATCGATAATTAGTATTTATCAAAATATTATACAAAAGAAAGTCCAAATAATACGAATAGCAACTTGCCACTTCGTAGCAAACGTATGCAATTTTTGTAAAATAAACTGATATCACTGAACAGAAATTATTGCAATGTAGGGATGTACAATACAACTTTAGCTGTCGATAAGTCAATTAACCATTCGGGTTTGTATGCCGAACTGGTATTTATTTTTGTTTAGATTTTATAATAAAGTATTAAAAAAGCAGTAAATTTTTCTATTATTGCTTTGATTTCGCATATTCCCAAGAGATCCTCTTTGGCAGCAGACTGGGATCGCAGCTTGTAGAAATCATGAATCTTGGATACCTAAACGGACTAGCACCATTTGCTCCGAACATTTTGTTAAATTATATTTAATACCTCAAGCTATCAATAAAAGGTCAGCCGAACTTGAATTTGTGAAAGATAATGTCTAGCTGTACCTAATTATATCAATAGATTAAATATTTTTATTATTACCCTTGACACCAATATTATTCTTCTTGAAAATATTTTAGAATTTCGATAAGTTTACAATAATGACTTCTTATATTTACGCGAACACTACACATTAAAGAACCTAATCTTACGGATTTTATCGCGTTCAATTTTTACTTTTTGATTTCTGACGTTTCGCGAGCTTTACAACACGACCTTTAAAGCCGCACCTTTGACAAAGTGCGCCAACGCAAGAAATCATGCAGTGCACTAAATCGACTTGATCTAAGCGAAAACCAAGGCAAATTAAACTAAAAAAACGCCTTGAAATAAAAATCAATAGCATAAAAAGGCTTCAATCACAGTAACGGTATTTAAAGAAAAAGGTAACAAGTTTGGAAGAAATACTAAACTTGCTGACAGACTTCTTTGATAAATAAAGAAAAGAAACAGGTATTAGAAAAGATACGAACTGAAGTAAGCGAACTTTTAAAGAGACAATTAATTTAAAATAAGACTGGAACACGCCCAAACTAAATATTCCAAGAAGTTAGATGTTTCACCCTA